ACATCCCCGACTCTGGGGGGTTTTCTCTCCTCAACCACAGACCTTAGGAGGAAAGTGAGCGCCACCCCCAAAGTCCCCCCACGGCGGGGGGCGGGGGGGGGGGAATTCTGGGAGTTGCAGTCCATACCTCTTAAAGTTGCTGAGGTTGAGAAACAATGCTCTAAGGGATGGTGCCTTCAGGAGTATCACTTTTAAGATGGGATAACTGGATAGGCTGATTATGAAATGATAGTTGAGTTCACATATTGCTAAGCTGTAGTTTAAACATTGGCCAGGTTCATCCTTCACATCAGACAGTAATCATGGTTTACCAGTGTGACTGGGTTTCCGTAAGATGCTGAAGCAAAAGCAAACCAACCATGATATGAGTTACTGTATGCTGGGAACTAGTTCAAGGGGTCCCTTAGACAGTGAAGTTGTAAATATGTTAAGCATTGTCGAGAAAGAGCCAACATCTGGCAACAACTGGCCAAAATTCCTTTCACTGCCAGGTACCATCAGTAACTGAGGGGATGAGCAGACAGGGCTCTCTCAGTGGTGGCCCCGCTCTTCATGGAATCTCATCCTCCAGAGAGACTGGTGCGGCAGGATGAAAAAAAATATGTTTTTTTAATAGATGGTTTTGCTACTGATTTATTATTACAGTTTGGCTGAATATGCAGATGTTGATCTTGCATAAGCCAGCTTAGAAACTTACTGGAGAGCTGTACATCCACTTCACCCACTGCATGAAACCATATTTAATTCAGCCAGGTCTTTTAAATATGCCACAATTAGGTGTGATTGTATCTTGGACTCAGCCATAAACTGTTATCTACAAACCCCAACAGCTGCATTCATGCTTCATTCTAAGTCATCATCAAACCATCACTTAATGACTTACAGCAGTGTGAGGTCCAAATCTGTAGGTTCATCCATAATACTAAACCACGGCCTGTTGAACAAGCCATTGCAGCATGAACCGTGTGTCATGCTCAACCTATAACCCACGACTTATAAGCCACGGTGGGCTGAGTTCTCCCATTATCATGCCAAGGCTAACCCATAACCAAGCATCCACATTACAGCTCTGCATGATTAGCCAACTCAGTTTGTGGGTATATTTTGGCTCCTTTACCTAGACCTCCATTTGTAGTTCCTCCTTCTTTAGTCTGCCTCCTGTTAAGGAGACTGTGGGTTGTCCTCCCTGAATCAGCCAGGTGGGGAAGGATCATGGAATACTAGAAGGCTTGCAAGCAGAAGATAACGATCAGCCTGATTCCTTTGAACTCTGATGCTGGTGGAATTCGTGAAGCCTTGTTGCAATCTCACACATTTGCAGCTGCCTTGCTGTTAGTTGACACCTGTACAAACAGCTCTGGCCGGAAGTGACCCCACCAGGATGAAGCAAAGGGCATTTTAAGAGCCGTCATGAAACCTCACCATGCAAAGTTGTTTTGAAAACGGTGGGGTTGGGCTCCCTGCTGATCAAGAGCTTCTCTCTCACAGGTCTTGGGACGGGAACTCCTGGTAGAATACATCAAGGGCGAGGCTAAAAATTTAGCTCTCCTTGAGGAGGAAAAAAAAAAAGGAGAACCAGTGAATAAAGTGGTTCACATTCCGGCTCATTTATGACCCTTCCTTTTTTTTATAAGAACTTTATTAAGTTATAAAAAGCGTACCAATAAAAGCAAACAAGAACCAATAATCAAAACGTAGAAAACAAGAGAGTTAGAAATAAAGAAGGAATACACAAGTGATGAAAATTTAAAAAAAGGGAAGAAAGGAAAAATTACAACAAGAATGACTTCCAACTTCTTATACAGCAGATACAGATCAATCATATATGAACTTTCCTAAGAAACATTGGGTCCCCCAGTGATTTCCCCCTTCCTTAGGATGAGCTAAATGGGACAGGAGTGTAAAATAGACCAGGCGGCACCATCTACATGCCTTGAGATCGTTGGATCAGATATAATAAGTAAATGAAAGTGCTGATTGGTGATTAGGAGACAGCGAACATTCCTGCTTTGAATCTGCTGGATCTGATGATTCAGTTGATGAAAGATGTTGACAGGTCCTAGAGAATTCTATGGCCCTCTTGATTGCAATCAGCCCTCAAGAAAACCTCCTTTGCACCCTCCCAGCATAAGGGCTTCCAGTTTATGGTAATATCACTGGCATGAAGGCACAAGCTTGTTCCCCCTCCCCCCGCCCAAGAAAAAGGGCAGAAGAGGGAAATTTCTATAAAAATAGTATCTTTTAAGATAAAGATGCCAGCATGTATTTAGAAATAATAATTGAAACAGAAGTAGAGTCCATCTCATCCTATAGGAAGAGGGAGCAGGTAATCTTCTGTTGAGGGTGGTTTCAACAACCAGGCTACTCCAGATTCCCCACTCTGTTCTCAGTTGTTTCCCCCTAGTCAATCTTGGATTGAAGAGGTCTTCAAGGAGAGCCCTGCCCTCTGTAAAATAGGAGACCTTCTCCAACTTTTTCCACTTCCAGCCTGCTCAGACAATCCATACTGAGATGGAAAGCTTGAACACGGCCTGCCCGTGTGGAATCCAATGTGCCTAAACCAGGATGGTTGCATTGGACGGTCTGGTGGTTCTGTGTGTGTATGTGTTGTGTTGTCATTGTTTTAAAGCAAGAAGTTGACCATGCAGAATGGAGCCGCACCTAGACTGCAGAAATAAAGAAAAAAATAAAATTCGATGTCTGGTGTGGGTCTTCCGGGCTGTGTGGCCGTGTTCTTAAAGTTTTGTTTCCTAACGTTTCGCCTGCACCTGTGACCGGCATCTTCATCTTCCAGCCCGGAAGACCCACACCAGCCATCGTATGCCGGCCGTGAAAGCCTTCGACAAAATTCGATGTGCTCAGCCCTCTTTGGCTATGGCATGACTGGAGGAGTATTTTAGCTGAAATAAACCCATTACAGAAAGGCATGTGAAAGGAAGGGTCCCAGCACAGGAAGAAGTAACAAGTTGTACAGGGAGGATAATATCACATGGGCCCTGGAGAAAATATTATGGAGAACATCATCTGGTCTGCCTCAAATGAATTTCCTGGGTGCCACCTCGGTTGATCTCATTCCTAACTCAGCCACGTTTCCTTCCCATGGCAACTCCGAGCAAATCTCAGTCGAATGAGATCACCTCCCACTCACCGAATTCCAAACCTCTTCCGAAGACTGATCTCTTATCATTTTTATTAAAAGCCACATGCTGTACGCTCAATTTTCAGTTCCCCCATCCCCTCGACCTTCCCGATGCTCTCTTGCTCTATTTATTTTGGCGAGAGGCAAAACATTCTCCGGGGAGTGATAGAGAGTGGGAAATGAATAATATTTATTGGAGTCATCAATCTCTTCCCTTGCCGCGTCCCCATCAAAGCATTTGCTTTTCCCGGCAAAGGTCAGGCAGAGGAGCAAAGAGATCAGGTTTAGGGTAAACCCAAGGTGGATCTTAAACGCCACACTGCAACGGAGGGCAAATCTTCCCCTCCCACACAGCAAGGCATGGGGTGTGTTCTGCCTTTCATCCTGACCACCCTTTGGGAGTTTACAATTTCCAGTGGGCTCCACAGGTCTCATGGGATTAACAGAAGACATTGGGAGACAGCAGCACTATGCCATCAACTCACTTGCTCAACATTCCCCTGTGTAAACCAGCCGTTGGAGGGCTTGTCCAGCAAACCACAGTTACAACCAACTATGGTTTCTTCAAGATTCCACGGTGGCTTAATCAGCTCAACAAAATAGGGTCTGACTTCTGCTCACCAAGTAAAGAAGTTGATTCTTTGGAAGATAGCCTTCCAAAGATTTGGCTCTGTATCCGTGATGGAAGTCTCTTCTGATTCTGAATTAGCAATGGAATACTGTGTAGGCCCAGTTAACCGCAGCTCTGGATGGATTAGAAAACTTGTAACTGTCCCATTGTGTTGCAGCTTAGCAACAGGGTTATCCCAACCTCGGGGTTGGTGTTGAGTGAACCGGAAGTGGGACAGCAAAACAAATCTTCCCGAGATTCAGGGATTTAGCTAAGCAGAGGAACACATGGGCCGGCTTCTTCACCGGCCCATCTAACCCAATTTTTTGATTTGGGTTACAAGCAGATAAAGCTCTTATGCAGCGTCTTACTATTAACGGGGAATATCCTTCAGCATTGGAGTCCATTTTCTTGGCACAGTTTTCTCAATGAGCCAGGATCTGGGTGGGCTTCATTCATCCCACTAAGCCATAATGTGGTTTCTTTGGTGTTGGCTTAGTCTGTGGTTCATCACCATTTAACTGCAGCTTATTCAACCAGCTACAGTTGAAGCAAAACTGCTTAGCATGATATGAAAAGCCAGTTTTATTTATTCCATCCTTTAACACCCCACCTTTTCTCCAAAGAGCTTAAGAAGTTTTCTACAATGATCTCCTCTCTTCTCTGACCAAGATCCCTGTCAATTAGAGAGAGGCAGCCAGATTATCACCCTATTAATTTTATAGCTAAATATTGGATGCATACCAGGGTTTCCCTGAGGCAGAGCAACCTCTTTTTAATATTTTGCTACACAGGTTCTCAGATCAAACAATGGGGCTTTTCAAAGTATCGGGAAGACCACACTAAATTTTTGGCTGGGGGATCCAGCTTTATTTTGAAGTAGTATTTCTCTTGGATTTTTTGCAAAAAAAAAAAAGAGCACCCATTCAAATAGGGGTAAGAAGCAAAAATGATTTCCCAGAATCTTTCAGCTTGTTAGACTGAGTCTGCATGCAAACCAGCCTACCTCATTGTTATTGTTCAACTTTTGGGCCACATCCTTTTACAAAATCCGGATGACTTCAAACGGGAATTCACAGCTGACTATTAAGCACATTGTGGATGGGGAGAAACCAAGTTAAACAAGTCTTTAGTTTGTTTAATCTCCTTGTTCTGGGCACAGCCCAGCCTTTCATGAGTGAGGACGTTTAGTTGATTTTTGTTGTGTGGTGTGTGTGTGTATGTGGGTTTTTTTTTTTTTAACCGCCAGCCTCTGTTCCTCCTTTGTTCTCATCTACTGCTGAAACAGGATGAAGCCACTTTGGTTAAAGTTCTTTGGGGAAAAAAGCATGGAAAAGCCGCTTAAATGAGAGAAGGAAAACGGGTCGCTTGTGCTGAAATACCAACAAGCACGCCAGGTTTTTAATTTGGCTGCCGAAGTGTATCAGCTCCAGGACTAATATTTGGATCTCTAGCTCAGAACAGATCTTGTTTTTAAAATATTCTTTAGATTTGATTGGCTGGGAAGGAAAAAAGGAGATGTCTTCACAAGAGCTGTTAAAAGATGATTTGGACCTCAACAGCAACTTGGCTGATGAAGATAATTGGTACATATACGAACCAATAGGAAACCCCAATGAGTAAGTATAAATGCTACTTGTTTCTCAAGTTTAATCTCTGCCTCACTTTTCTATCTAGAGCCTACAATTGTTCCTAAAAGTTCCTCTCTGCAAAGGGTTTGTGAATGTCACTGTCAAATAGTAGAATAATCCAGGGCTGGAGAATATTGGTGTGCAATATTGTGCATTGTTTGAAACAAAGTTTGACATTTACGAGTGGGCTGGTCAAGTGGTTTAGATGTCTTTCTCAGACGGCGTGCAATAGCGTCTCCCCGGGTTTGATAGCGGTTAGGAAAAGCTTTGTAGTACTTATGGAAATCAAGCCATGAATATTTAGTGGTTCATACTGGCAAATTATGAGCTTTATGCCTCATGCCTGTCAAAGCAATCTATGCATTTAAGATGGGGGGGGGGAGGCGTGACTCTATCCGTATTTAGCTGAGTAGTTAGCACTTAGACGGGATTAAAAATCAGAAGTTCTAATAGAACTCCCCAATTCTGCCTTGAAGTCGGATTAATGATGCACAAGCAGTCAAGACTGAATTGAAACATCCTTAACTTCCCTGGCTTTGACTCAGGGGTGCAAAACACAGAGGAAAGTTTGATGCCATCTGTTGGGAGTCACTTTGAGAGTCATCGAGTCCAGTGTTTCTCAAGCTTGGCAACTTGAAGACGTGTGGACTTCAACTCCCAGAATTCCCCAGC